AATTGGGTTGGATGATAATTAAATAAGGACAGGTCGGTAAAGTGCAAAATAAACAGGTGTCGGACCAAAATTAAATAGACCACCATAAGGAAAACGATCGCAAAATGGAGACAGTATCTTTCAATGAATAAGATGTTCGAGTGATTCCGTTAATGTTAGTTGCCTTTAATTGTAAAATGGGAATTACTGATTCTAACTTTAAAAAAAAACATGTTTTTTAGCTAATCGGAATTAAATAGCTTAGTTCTATAGCTAACTTGTAAGTATGCAATAATTTAAAGTAATGAGTTAACAACTAAAATTAATTCTTTTAAAGCTAATGAAAGGGACATAGAAATAATCGCAATCCACTAAATTGAATAATGATTGGTATTCACTAAAAGGCAAAATACGTAGCTTTATTACTTCCACCACATTAATCTCCTATTATTTTGATTGAAAAACCAAAGTACCGAATCGATCTTGATGTAATTTCTGTCGGATCAATCTGGAAGTACCTAGTTTTTAAAAGTAATAAGTTTCCAAATTTACATTATTCATAGAGATTTATACAAGTTTAAGGAAACAAACGAACAAAAACAATCGAATCATGAAAGCCTTTCCTTTTTTTAAATCGCATGAAATTAAACCTCTTTTCCTTCTCCAAATATCTGATGTCGAGCTGTCCCGTCCTTCAATTTTCAAAGACCGTGTAATGTTATATAAGAAACGTGACCGGAATTACAAACATATAAATAGTTTACGCGGAAGGCTGCAGAAAAGTGGATTAGTTATATATCAAAGTCATTAATCAACTATTAAAATTGAGAAACGGCGTGATCCGGTTATATGGTCCGTGGTAAATGAAACATTAATTATACGCGTCAAATTGGCTGGAGGTTATGGTTCGGTCCACTTAAGGACAGAAGGGCAACCACAGTCACTATAGTCACAAGTACAACTAATAAATTCTACGTCTCATTTAAATGTAGTAATATCTTAATTTTTTTCCTTCTTTAAAAACTGCTCATTATTATATGGGAAGACTTATTTTTGTCTATCAATCCACCTGTACATTAAATCCTTTACTGCGGGCAATCGTTTGTCGTACACACTGACTCAAACTTCAGTATATACAAACTATAGTTTTGAAAGACCATCAAAGAATTATTCGAAGTAGGTCAGGTATTATTGAAGGCTTTAGCGAACAAAATGCCCAAACCAGAATTAATAGACTTGCATGTGACGACTAAAGTCGGTGATAAACGAGTTCCAATAAAACTGGGGTTTGTTTTTATAGACAGGGGAGTTCTTATATATGTAAGGTAATGCGGGAAAGAGCATCCTAAAGACTACGACTAAGACTTGGATGAACGGTGTGAAAGAGCATATGTGAGAGAAGGGTGTGAGTGCAGAGATGACGTATGATAGGCCTGAATGGAAAAGAAGACATGTTGCGCCGACCCAACTCAACGTACCGACATACAAACGGATATAAAAATTATCTATATTAAGATACATGTATATAAATCATCAACCCAAATAAAATTACTATGTATTCCTCAAAACACTATACCACCTAAATCCCTTTTTATTTCGTCCTATGTCAGATTTAGTGACATTTCAATATGTCAAAATGGCGCCGTTTGATAAACATCTTCAACTTTTTTTGTACTCCAATTCAATATAGCAATTTTTTTGAACTTAAAATCAGATACTTTCGACAAAAACAGGCAGAATAGATTGAATATATCCGTGAAGCCTTATAAAACACGCTAAAATTTCCTAGTAATCAAATAAATCCTGCCCCTCATAGGCCGAGGTACAGTTACAGCATGAAAGCTTTAAAATCAATTTCATACGTATTTTAAAGATTCTATTATGTAATCTTTCACGCAAAACTTGTAGTTACAGTAAGATTTTGTAATTTTGTCTTATTGCATAATATGATCTCTTTAGTGAAGACTTTCTTTTTTCGGTCATATTGTGTCGATGATTTTTGTCTAGGTCTTAGCGTGGTTAAACAGAATATCTCCTAACTTTGTTCAAATATCGTTTAAAAAAACCACTGTGCAGTTTGTTTTGTTCTAATTGATATTATAAGCGGTCTTTCAGAATTACCGATTTTACTTAATATTTAAAAACATTACCGGTGCTTCTTGTAAGAGTATTTTATTATCAAAACTTAGAAATAAAATAGCTGGAAATATAGAAGTGATTTGTAGACGCGGTGGAGACGACCAACCTGGTGAGGTCGTTGGGCTTAGGTGTTAAAATAAGAAAAAATATCAAGACCAACAAGCAATGACTTTAAAAAAACAATGTCAAAGGTCAAAAATAATTATCTTTCATCTAAGATTTGTTGAACCCTTAAAAGATTGTTTAATTCAGGAAGAGATCTTAAGACGTCTGGTTACAAAGAAATTCTGTGTTGCTTCGTTCCCTTTGCAAGGAGAGACATGCTTTGCTTTTATTTGTGCTGCCTCTAAAAGACAGACCCAGGGCCGCATTGTGGTTTTTTTTTTGTTCTATTTGTACCTAATATTGCGTCAGTATCAGAGCCCACAGACATCAACATTGTCCTCTAACATTTCGATGGAGGTCGAAATTTCAACTGTGTTGTGAAACAGTTGTCATATCTTTCAAATCTCATGACTAATCTAACGCATTTTTATTTTTAATTAATTTCGCCTGTTTGACATTTGAAGCAGGTAGTTCGTAAACTACCGGGTTAGTCGTGTGAGGTTTTTTTATTTTATTTTATTTTTATTATTTATTAGATGGGTGGACGAGCTCACAGCTCACCTGGTGTTAAATGGTCACTGGAGCCCATAGACATCTATAACGTAAATGCGACACCCACCTTGAGATATAGTTCTAAGGTCTCACTATAGTTACAACGGCTGCCCCACTCTTCAAACCGAAACGCATTGCTGCTTCACGTAATGTTTACTTACAAAAATTGGTGCCTGCCAGAGGATTTAAGAATTTAGATTTAATAGATTGAGCATTTGAAATAGACACGAATACACAGGAGTTACTATTAAGTCGGATGCTTCAAGCCCTATTGAATAGTTTTTGGGAACTGCTTAAAATTATATTTTTTATTTTCCTTAGATTATTGACAGCGCGTATATTGTAAATTGATAATGTCTATAACTGCATTGTTAGCAGACTACAGACTGCGGGCACGTGACTCACAAGACATTTCATCTTGTACCGTGTTAATTTAAATAAAAAATAAACTTTTGTTTTTATATGTACACACGTACATACATATTTTAAATACAATAATATACAGATTTTAAAACTAATACCTGTTTTAGTTAGTTTTGCTTGGTATTGATGCAATTTCTTAAAATTCTCATTACCGTTTTTTTCCCTGTTAAAATTATCCTTAATCCGTTTCTGCTTGTCTTTGTCTTAGCTTTTTTTCATCATTTACCCGACCCACTTTGAGAGCTCGGACTGTTCTAAATATAAATTAAACCAACCTTTCTAGGTGATATCGCACTGATGGAACTTCATTGAAGTTTTATTGAAACGTAAAACTATGTAATGTATATGACACGTAACACAAATGTGTGGGATTGACTTATACTAACGCAGAATCACATGATCGTATAGATCGTATAGCCCTCCATAATTCTGGAACCATTATTCTCGAATTCTCTTTTAAAAAGCACGTCGGGAACAGCCAGTCAGAGCTTTTACGGGAAACTTTCCGTGAATTCTGTCAGCGCAGGCCAAAAAAGCTGTTCGTTTGGCGGCTTTACAAATAATTATGGGCACAAAAAAGGATTAAAGCGAACGACGAAGCGAAGTTTCCTATAAAAACTTGTAAAGCGTTTCTGCTGGAAACTCGTACAGTACGGGAACTTTCATAAAATTCAACTTAAACATAAGCTTGGAATTTCATGCCAAGTCACCGAATTCGTATAACTTCGCAACGACGTCACCTAATTATCACTTTTACGCTTCCGTGTTTAGTTCGTGACGCTTAAACTAAGATGACAAAGAACGTTACGGACTGCTCCTTAAATTCTGAGAAAGTTAAATAAAGTACTTTATTTTATTTTTCCTTCATATATTCGCTGGTAATTTAGTTATTATTAATATTTATTTATTCGAGTTTCTCGCGAACGGTTAGGTGAGCCTCACCACGGCCTCAACCTGAAGACATAACGTACAACATCAGCGTTGAAGCATAAAACTTATGAATTAGAATGCGATTTTGGTACAGTCTAAGTTTTGGTTGACGCGTCAAATTCCATTTGGCCTTTTGAATACCCCTTTGTTGTTGCATTCCAACATCGAGAAAATTGACTTCTGCTGCTCTTTCAGTAAATGAAGCCGTGGTTTACTTAAGGGGTTAGCGAGAGAGCACGAATTCTGCTGTCAGTGATACATCGTGAACACTAGCCCTAGCAAGAGCAGTGCTTCGCTGTATCTACTATCGGATCGGAATCGCGACCCACTGAGAAAATCCGGCGAGAAACGCAGTGGGTTCTTCTATGAGTAGTTCGCACGTCGAACTCTTCGTCAGAGTCGACAAGTTCGACGTACTGTCCCCCTTGAGATATTAGTTTAATTATTGAAGATTGAAGTATTCATTGGTTGGCTCACATTTGAAACTGAACAAGTAGACCTGTGAAGGCGCTTTTAAATCGTCACTGATTGAAAAGGCAGATTCATCACTAAGGAGAATCGACAAGAAATTAAGGACAATAGGAAATCAGCAGGATGATCACACTCATCCGTGTGCGTTAAAATTCGTCACGATTGTATTAAATTAAAACCATTTTATTTTGAGGACAATCAGGAGGATCCTATCGGTGATTCAATCAGTATATGTAACATTAAAGTTTTAAGATACTTTTGGTGATGGGAAATTTCTCACCGATGTATCTGTTGACGCTAGGCTTTTAAGTGCCCAGTTTTATGAAAAACGATTTATAATGTACATATATATATTATACCATTGTATTTTTCTACTATAAAATTTGTTTAATTATTTCTAGATTTGCTGACGATATAGAACTGATGACCGGACAACGACCAGGGATTTACTGGCTGATCTGTTGGAAGTATCTCTCTCCGCTGGCCATGTTGTCCATTCTCGTGTCATCGTTCGCGGAACTAGCTATGGAGGGATCCGGGTATGAAGCGTGGGTCTCGTCCGAAGGGGACACCGTGAAGAAACCCTGGCCCGTGTGGGCGGTTTTGCTCGTGGTCGTCCTGGTATTGGCATCTGTACTGTGGATCCCTGTAGTTGCGATTTGCAGGTGAGCTCGAGAGCAGAACTAAACATTTTAAACTCGATAATATTTATAATTGTATGCCTGTATTATATGATATCGATTTTTATGTTATAATCGAGAAAAAATTTTTTTTAATGTGAATACAAGTGATCGATATATATCACAAAGGGAATTCCGCTAACCACCTTGATGGTTGAAATCTATTAAGATTTTTTTTAGTAAGACTGTTCTGAAACAATCGCTTTACTGCTTCTAATAACCTAACATTATTTATGTCGCGATAAAGCCAGACAAAAGTTTCAGACTTCAAGAAAGGTTTTTAGCTTAGTACCGAATTAGAATAGATAGAATCAAGATTGGTCGTTTGGATCAATCGAGGCCAAAGCTATTAACTACGTTGATAACAAAGGATTTGTTACATTTTGTAATAATAATATGGACTATTCATTCATATTGGGTATTGTTATGACGATAAGTAGTACTGGATGTACTGACAAAGGGGGTTAAAGAAGAGATAGTAAATCCCAAAACTGGTGATAGGACGTCTTGTGAGTTCGCACGGGTTGGTGCCACCACCCTGACTATTTCTGCCGTGAAGCGATAATGCATGTCAGCCAAAGGGTGGAACAGCCGTTGAACTGTAAATCTGAGACCTCAGAACTCATGTCTCAATGTTGGTGGCGGCATTTACGTTGTAGATGTCTATGGCTCCGGTAACCATTTCAAATAAGGTGGGTCGTGAGATCGTCCAACTATCAAAACAATAAAAAACAATAATGGTCATGATCTAAAAAAAAAGGAAATACGTACTGAATACTAATTAGTTTAAGAACGACTTCCACAATGAAGAAATACTATCGCGTAGTGAAGATTAAAACCGCATTTTTCTGTAATTACTGGTATCAGAGCGTATCGTTAAATCGCAGCGTGTGGATACCGCTATCTTGTTTATTTCTGGCTAGAAGCATTGCGCGTCTAAACTTGTAGGGTCCGTTAATCAGATAGGTACCAACATGATATTAATTCTTATATTTCGTATCGTGAGCATAAAACTAATAGTTAAACACCAATAATTTCGACGGTAGGCTGTGGCTTGGCTCTGCCTCTGGCATTTCTGAAGTCCATGAGCGAATGTAACCACTCACTACCAGGTGGGCCGTATACTCGTCTGCCTACAAGGGCAATAAAAAAAAGTTATAGTTAGTAATATAAAACTTTTAAATTTTCATCTTCTTCTTGGCCTTATTCCACTATGTCAAGGATCGGCGCGGCGTGCCCTCTTTTTCCATTCAAGCCTGTAATACGTCATATCTACACTCACACCGTTTTTTCGCGTATTCTCTTTCGTACAGTCCATCCAATTTTTTTTTAGGAAAACACCTTTTTTATTTCAAAAAATAAATATCCACACATCTTAGCAATAAATAAAAAAAACTTTTAAAGCATGATTTGTTTTTAAATTTTACTTTTATATCATGATTCAGATACTTCGGATATCCTATCGTAGAGGACGAGGAGCGCGCCTGGTTTCCCGCCGAAGACCTTCGTGATTTTCACGGCATCGAGCCAAGGCCGGTCTCCGCGGCGGAGACCCTTCTGTTCTGCACTAGGCCTGACGGCAGCGAGGGCTGCTGCTGGCCTGGATGTTGCGAAACTGACGATGAGGAGTAAACTCTTCATCCATTCATGTGTTGTTTCTGTCCATGCTTCGTGTAAGGAAAGTTATTGTAGCTGTGTACAGTTTACTGTGAAAATATGTTTATGTAGATGTTCTTACCTGGATCTGAAGGCAAATTGGATCGCTTTAACAATAATCCTTTCACTTAAAAAAAAAATTAAGATCGTAAACAAATATTAGCGTGTACAATAATTATACATTGCTATTTATTTTTAATTATCTACCGATTTAAAGTAAAACAATATTTGGTTAAGATTATTTCTGATTGAAAAACATTTCGATAGATTCAGCTAATACGCTGCTATGCGTGTCATGCCACAATGATCAAATTTCTAATATTATATTTCATTATAGACTCCATCGATATATATCGATGATAGACTCCGGCAATATCGGTACTATCCTATCTTATTAGCTATCGCTGCAAGGCTGATTTGAAGGATATAAAAATATTACTTTAAATTTGACTAACCTTCAAATGTCAAATACGGCAGCTCAAAGGAAATGTGGATGAAACCGAGAGATACGCGCTTTTGAGGCTGACAACACCAAACGTGTACTATGGGTACCTATGTGTACCTTTCGACTCTGATTCCGAATAGAGGATTGTTCTAATCATATTATTATCAAAACATGTTATCATAGTTCGACATTTTATTCATTAAATTTAATTTTCCTCTCATAAAGCGATACGTACCTTTACTTTTTGAGTACGGTACCTAATAATAACTTGAGTGTAACATAAATGAAGGTGTTTCCAACAACAATATTACGGTGATTACGTGAATAATGACAATAATATTTAGGCCTAAAGAAAATTAAATAGAACTGTGTTGTTTGAAAATAGAGATTCTGGTTTGTTTAGTTTTTATTTTGTATTGATAAAGTGAACTGAAGTGTGGTAGGTAGCAGCTTGGTTGTGTTTTTGGCATTACTGACCTCCATGAGTGACGGTAACACTATCCGGTGGCTCTAAAAAGTATTGCCTACGAAGCCAATAGAAAAAAGCAAAGTATCAGCCAGCAAGATAAAGTTTTTATTACCTACTGTCGTTATGAACACTACCTACGTACTTCTTACCTTCTTCATATCATGATAGGCGATCTATATCTTTCTTCCATATCAACAAAGTTATGAAAAAGTCATATCTTTCACTTTTAAAAGTAATTTTGACTAACGGAAAATACCTTTTAGTAGATGTGTATTCTATTTACAAAAACAATACATTATATTATATACAAATAATTTACGTACAACAATGACAATAAAAATTGAAGTTATATATATAGGATTTACAGTTGTTTTGTAGTTTTAAAATATTCACATTCTCTCCAAGACAATAACTTTTGGATAAGTATTATTATTTATAAATTTGTATTTCCAATCGATTTAAAGAAAATTTACGACAATAATCATATTGGTATTTAGATACTATATTATAGAGTGTAATATAGAATACAATGCAGTCATATTATGTATTGAAAAAAAAAAACAATTAAAGAATCGCATACTTGGTTTGAACTATCAGTGAAAATTAACAATAAACATTAAGAGTATTATGACGTCACAAACAAATACTTTTTTTTTATTCGCAATCGTTTCTTTGGCTGCTATTGTATTAATAATAAGCCTTGATGTGATAATATTAACTGTTGTTGTTATCTTTTTAATATTATATCCTAATATATCGTCCTAAACTGATATGTTTTGAGTGTCAGTTTAAAATACCTACGCAATATGAGATTTAAAAATAATCTTTCGGGATGTTGTGCATTGGAGAATTATTAAATTGCTTGTGATTGATAATAAACGATGGCTTTGTGTACTGTCACCTTTCATTTTGGACCGACACTCAAAATAATATTAATGAAATGTAATAGGTAATATGTAGCACATAAGTATTTTAGAAATATTTCATTGACGAGTGGCTGTTTAATAATTACGTACTTTTAACACCAATTTGATGTCTGCTTGAAATTAAATCTCAATTGTAATCAAACTCATTGAAGCATAATAATATGAAAAACTTTTATTTCTTCTTTATCATCGTAAAAACATGAATTAAAAATTAGCGTTATGTAGCATCACTTTCGTGCTTGGTGATTATTATGTTAAAAGCTGAAAAGCGTAAACGTTAAAAAGCTTTAAGTTTAAATTATATGCACTACGATTTTCTGCCGTTTTATTGTTTTGGCTACATACTGCAACCGTGCGTAGTGGACGCATCCGATGATGCACGAAGTATTTATATTAATCCTGTGCTGTTTAATATTTAACGTTAGTATTTGTCTTATAAAGAAGGCATCAGAATCTGATGCCTTGCTGCCTGACAGTGCCCTGCAGTGCTACCTTACAGTGTCTGATGATCAGACTGCACTGTCCACATTAATGTGCATAAAGTCCATAGACTAACCCAAAGTCTTCTACTTTTTATATTTCTCTAATGCAAGAATTAGAAGCCTGTACTTTTTTAAGGCCACACATATTTTATGGAGATATATCGTTAGCAATGTTGTTGTCATGTGTTTAAGCAAAGAAAAAAAAAAATCCTAGCGTTAACGATAAATAAAAATTATACTTGCAATTTTATTGCGTACCTATATATCCCTTCATCGACTCAGCTAGTTATTGACTATTGAAACAAACAAAGCCGATTGATTGAATATAAATTGTCTGCGTTGAAGTGTGTTTGAGTTCATGAATATGAATAAAAAATGCCGTGTAGGTACCATTTACTAATAGTCAAAATTTACGCTAAAATTAGCTGGCGGTTGGCTGTAGTGCGGGTTACCACTAAAGGCGAGGTAAGGCTGTATGTGTTTAAGGCTTGGGCCGGTTTTAAGTCAATTAATTTTTATGCGGTAAATCGTAGTAACTTCAGTAACATCGAAGCTATTTATTATCATGTAATTATTTAGTTTTCTAATGGGAATCGCTGAACTTAAACAATATTGGATAGTCTCTTAAGTAACAGGAAATATAACTTCAGGAATCTGGTGACCTTAGATACGTTACTCTAAATAATGTTTTTTTAAAGTTATCTACTCAATTCTAAATTGTTGCATTCCAATGAATCTTTATTTTGCTTGTAATAAACTTGTTCTTATGAAAAAAACTGAAACGCACAACGACTTTTGCTTAGCAATTTTTTATTGTATATTTTTCGATAAAACCAATACTATTGCTTATTTCTTATGAAATTATGAAAAGAAAAAGAATATTGCTAAATAAGAACAACTGACATTATGGTATCTTTAAGCGATTTTGAACCGATTCTGAGTTCCCAAATTTAATTGGAATATGTAATGCTCGCATTTAGATCAATTAATCTTTTGTTTGTATTATTTGATTTCCATTGTTCGCATGATCACTGAAAGCAATTAACTATTTTGCATAAGGCGAGTATCGTTCCTTAGCTATTTATGTTTTAATCAAGATATATGTATCTATACCTACTTAAAATTATTTAAAGCAATCATTAATAATTAACGTGTTGTTGTTTCATAAAAACTAAGTACAGTATATGCCTGAATATTACGTCGTGTTGATGGTAAAATTAAATTTTCTTGGGAAATTGTAGTTTCATTTCATGGTAACACATGTGCCCCGCGCTTTCAAAATTCCGCATAACGACAAAGAGACATTATGAAAAATTATTTCTACCATACATATAGTTAATACACATAATATTTAAGAATTTCTACAAAAATGTGCGTGAGGAGTAAATAGATTATAGGCAACCATCGTTTGTCTGTACTATATAGTAGCTTAATAATATTATTAAATTAAATACATTGCCACGTATTGTAGTAAATTGTAAGGAACTGAGTATAAAGTCCGTCCGCGATTTCGAGCCTTAAGGATTTGCCAACTACCCGAGTCTCCGAGCAGGCCCAATAGCTTATAGGTAAGGAAGCTGTGTCGCAAAAGAAACCACCCGCATTGTACTTCTTTTTTTTATTGCTTAGATGGTTTGACGAGCTCACAGCTCACCTGGTGTTAAGTGGTTACTGGAGCCCATAGATATCTACAACGTAAATGCGCCACCCACCTTGACATATAAGTTCTAAGTTCTCAGTATAGTTACAACGCATTACTGCTTCACGGTAGAAATAGGCAGGGAGGTGGTACCTACCCGTGCGGACTCACAAGAGGTCTTACNTATTTTTATTGCTTAGATGGTTTGACGAGCTCACAGCTCACCTGGTGTTAAGTGGTTACTGGAGCCCATAGATATCTACAACGTAAATGCGCCACCCACCTTGACATATAAGTTCTAAGTTCTCAGTATAGTTACAACGCATTACTGCTTCACGGTAGAAATAGGCAGGGAGGTGGTACCTACCCGTGCGGACTCACAAGAGGTCTTACCACCAGTAAAACCTGAGACCACCACCTGAGAATGAACTTGGCGAACTGACGCTGTGCTAAATGTCACGTTGAACTTTTTGAAGATTATGGTGACCCGCGCTTTAGCCTATTCGTATTTTTTATTGGTTAGTTGGGTGGATGAGCTCACTGCTTACCTGTTTAATTAATGCGAGTTTTTTAACGTTCTCGATAGCGTAAAAGTTAACTCAAATTTGTATGCAGTTGGAACGTTTGCCGCTAGGGGCGCTGTTGCAACTGCAATTGGTCTAAGTGGTTATTATTGCAATTTCTAAACAGTACATCCGGGCTGAAGCTGCGTGATCGAACGCCACACTTGCTTAGACATGACCACATCACCATCGTGTGGTCCATTTTTTTTTTATGAAAAATAAAACGCAATAAAGATAATAGTCATTCTTTATTCAAAAATCATGATACATTAATTAAACAAAACAAATTAAACTATGGCAACTGTTAGGTTAGACTTGACTTGCGTCTATCTGTAGGTATAAATGTGCCCGTGGAATTCCGTTACCATTCACATGTGTGAATAGTGTACTAGTCCAACATGTTTTATGTAAATTTGGCTTATAAAATTATATTATTACTACGCAGTCGTCACCTCTCAGTTATGAACCATAACCTGTGCGCTTAGTGAGAGTTTTTTAACGTTCTCGATAGCGTAAAAGTTAACTAAAATTTGTACCTATGTAGTTGGAAAGTTTGCTTACGTTTGCCGCTAGGGGCGCTGTTCCAACTGCATACGCATTTATGTTAAATTTTACGCTTTCGGGGACGTTAAAAAACTCGCACAAAGCACGCGAATCGTTTATCAAATTTTACTTTGACAATCCCTGTCAATTATTGTTCTTAGTATTTTTTAATTTATAGAATATACTGGTGAAAGCTCCCGGGTAATCTAGTGTTAGGTGAGTTACCTGAACCTATAGATAACACGGTGTGAATGTCGCCATACATCCTGTCTTATTGTATAGTGCAACGATGGTCCTAACCCTACAACCACATGGTAGCTTTTCGGCAGAAACATATAGGGTGGTGATACTGAATCCTGAGAGCTTACACTACGTAATTCATCATCATCATTATCTCAGCATGTCCACTGAACGTGACCTCTTTAATCAATCTCCAGTCCAGTCGGTCCGTTGTCCTCTGCATCCAAAAGTGACCATCCTTAACACTACGTAATTAATCAGGCAAATTAAAATTTTTATAGGTTCGATTTTTATTACACGCTATTTTTCCTTCATCGTCGATGTCATTTGTATAATTGTATTAAATATGTATTTTATTACAAAAATTGGTGCCGATCTGTGGGATTCGAACACTGGTTCAGTCGGGTCGCTCTAATCGACTTTATCATGATATCTTAGTTTTAATGTTACATTAATCTATATTTTCTATATGAAATATAAAGTTGACAATCAGGTCCGCTCTCTTCGAGAATTATTCGGAAAAGACGATAATAACTTTTATTTTGTGGAACGCCAAAATCAATATGAGCAAAATCAAATAAGTACATGCTAAAAATTTATAATTGAACTAATACACTTACAGGCTACACTAATTCATTATGATATGACGCGTACCGCTAACGGACTCTGTTCATCTTGAGATGTTGTGAAAAATATTCCGCGTGTACGCTGCTTAGATGATTTCCAAGCGAGTTATAGCAATGCCCATACTTGCCGTTGTGTTACGTAACCTATTCCCCGAGTTGTAATTAAAAATTATTGTTTCGTAACACGGTCCCCGCGTAGTTTTGATTTGCAATTAATTTCGTAACAGCAATACTCAAACTCATCGCCGCGAACAACGACAGATACCTTTTTAATTTTCAGTCAAAGGGTCGGTTTGGTTTTTGCCGGCAGACAGACGTTCGATATCCGAAAATTTTCACAAAACACACACCGCGTTGTAACTATCGCTAATTGTATGAAATACATAGATTTCCTACACGCGCTATAAGTATGATTGTCTTAATGCGTGCGCCATCTACCCTCCAAAATTTAATTCAATATACACGTGGCGACGCCTTATGTTATACCAGTTAAATATGAGCTACTTAGCTTGTAAGCCCTGTTGCGACATTTTGAAAACTTATTTAACTAAGTTTTTGAGGTAAACTATTGGACCCATGGCTTTTAGGTAGAATGAACCTGAATGAAACTGATGGTTTTCCTTGAGTGTTAGTAACATGGAAACGGTCAACTCTTCACTATAAAAATAGCAGCCTAAAGTTTACTAGCTTCATTACGTGTGACGTCATCCGAGGCTAACATAAGCATCGAGTTAACCACGGAACACCTAATAGTCTAAAACAACGAATAACCACAAATGACGTCATACACAGTGATTCGTGTTTAACCTGTTGTTAAAAAAATTAGAATGATTACATTTTACTTAATGATTTAAAATTTAAATTACTATTACTTTACAGAGATGTGATTGAATTTTAAATAAGATTAAGATAATTTGCATTATTGTTGAATTAAGTACTATATGAACGACAGTGAAATTCACTGCGATGAAAGATATTTAAGAGAACTGAACTGAATTAAGATAATGGCTCAGAACAAGATATTTATTAATAATAATTAATAATAGAAGTATGCACCATGAAATTGTAGCCATATATCAATTGAATCCAATTACGGTGTGGAACAAAATAATTTTGCCAAGAATAGGCGGCAATTTTAAGATAACATATGATATCTATTTAATTCAACAAGACAAACTTGAGTGCAATATACATTCTAAACTATATTAATTATACAATACATACGTTTTAAATAGAAATTTGTACCTATAAGGTGGGATGAGCAGTGCCGTACAAACATTATTTGTAAAAATTGAATGTAATATCGCACAACCTAGAAATATTTATGGTATTTCGTAAATTAGTGTAAGAACAATATTTTTGTAAGTGTAGTGTATTAGTGAGGGTACTTGTTCTCCTTTTAATAAAAGGATTGCTAGGTGCGGGTTGTATAAAGACATACACACAGTGAACTGACTTGTTAGCCAACACATGTGCTTAAGTTCATAATTGAATAATAAAACATAATAGTAAGTTTTGTCTATATAGTTAGTCTATGAACTGTTCGATAAAATCTCTCTTATAATTTGCCATCTGTGGTGCCAGCAGTGGGCAGAGGCTTGGCTGTACTCCGGGCACTGTTGATGTTGCTGCTTTATACCTCAGTTCTTTCCACTGAGTTCATTGTTTGTCCAACATTTAGAGTACACTGCAACCTGTCTTGTCAGTTTATCACCTCCACAATATTATTGCTACAGACAATCCCAGTGCAAGTGCTGCTAATATCAGAACACGCAGAAAGAAAGTTTTATTTTAAGGCTTGACTGGATTTAGAAATTTGAACAAGTGAACCTTCATACACTCATACAACTCGTGTTGTCTCAATTTAATCAACAAATGAGTTTAGGTCAAATTTAAAGTCTTACAGCAATTCACGAAACCCTATGTACTGCATAAGTACAAAATTATAATTTCAAGCAATTTTGAATTTTGTAATTTAAGTAAAATGGTGTATTATTATAATTACGTAACTGAGCTATGTGTATCTTCAACGGTGTTGTCGTTTTCTGCTTTTTTCAGCTTTTTTGCTCTTATATCTGCCATAGTCTGCTCTATAGATCTCTGATCTTTCTTATTTTCACTCGGTACCTCTCCATAGCTCTTGTTTAAATTAGTTTTCTGTGCTGCTTGGATAGCGGCGTCTTCGCCAATCAGATGCGCATACTTCTGCTTGTAAAATGTACCGCTTAATTCTTCGCGTCCCCGTTTCCTTTTCCTGTGCTTTTCTTCTTCAGATTCAATGGCTGCCAGTTTCTGATTTTCGATACGTTGTTTTGCAAGTTCTGCGGCTTTACTTTCGTCCCAAATACCACCGGACCTGCGCACAGCCAACTCATCCTCCGAGGGACCCATTTCTTTGGTATATATTACAGAATAGCGGTCAACACCCTCCTGACCGAAGGAATATACTTGTAATCCAGCCACATCGGCTACATCACGTATTATAGAACGATACATTTGCTCCATTGGTTCAAATTCTAATGAAAATTTATTGTCCTTGATGAATTTGGCTATTTTCTCTTCAATGTTTTTCCTGAATTTGTTAAGCATGTTCTTCATTTCCTTTTGTTTTTTCTCCATAGCTTCACGTTGTTGTCTCATAGCATTTCTTTGGGCCTCACTCGTTGATGGTGGCTTTTGCATCGAATTCAAAATGGAACCGAGCAGATCCATCTTTATATTTGATTTTCCTGTATGAATGACGTGTAGGCGATGATCTCGGGTATGCGTTGTCGCCAGTCAGATGAAATGCGAAAATTGTCTATAACCAATTCTGCGTCTAGTCCTTTATAAGCCAGTACTTCTAATGCCGTTTCAATTTGGCGGCAAATTTGACTTCCAAATGTCACAACATCATCAGCAAATTCTAAGAGTTCTTTGAGAGGCGGCTGGAATGGTGATCCACAGATCAATTTAGTCTTTTGTTTAAAGTCCACTTCTCTGCAACATTCTGTTAATTTTTTATGTTGATTGAGAAGTTTTTCGAAGAATTCTTCTATTTTACAACTGTAAAGAAGATTTTTTGGTAATGAAATAAAAAAAAACACACCATCACATCTCTCGTCACCCTGTGTGTATCATCAAAGGACCTCTTGTGACTTCGCGCGGGCAGGTACCCCCACCCAGGCTATTTTTGCCGTGAAGCAGTGCATTTTGGTTTGAAGGATGGGGAAGCCGTTGTAACTATACTTGAGACCTTAGAACTTATATATCAAGGTGGGTGGCGCATTTACGCCGTAGATGTCTATGGGCTCCAGTAACCACTTAACACCAGGTGGGCTGTGAGGTCGTGCACCCATATAAGCAATAAAAAAAAAAACAACATTGCCCACATGGTTTTTTTTAATAAGGCAGTGAAATTATAGCAATTAGTTATTGCAGATTTAATGTCCTGGCACTAAAGGTCAATTTTACTAGTGGTACAGTGTCTTGTGTGTCCACATGTGTAAGTACCACCTCCATTTAGCTCCTGGTGCCTGCCAGCCTATTATCCTACCTCCTACATATCAAAGTAATAATTTTGTTTATGAAATTTAATTTTTATTATATATATTTCAGTACACTACTGATCCCGCAGTAGTCGAAATTCCACTATAATTAATTGAAATTGTAAGTTTGTATACTATTATGATTCTATTTTCAAAGACTATTATACTTCTTAATCACAAATTTCGTCAAGACTACACTATACAAAAATATTAATAAAGACAAACAATATTTAATTCAATCTCAATTTGACCACAGACTTCAAGAACAAATTTTGACAATAAATAAATTATATGCATGCGTGTGTTCATCAAATACATGGAAGTGTGCGTAAAGTTTTTTTTATTGATTTAATGTATTTTTTAGGCATAATTTTAATAAATATTAACATTCTGCACTCCTTCTCTATTCCAATTTTAGGAATATTTTATTGTAATGATAGGAACTCGTTTTCAGTTTCCTTACTTATGATTTTAAGTAATTTTAAGATAAATATTATATTAGACTAACTTGTTCGTACTGATATTTGTTCGTAAAATTTTGGTATGTAAGATTAAATTGCGAAGTAACAATAAATCAAAGAAGATACGGCATAACCAAAAATTTCACTCACAAATATTTATTTCAAAAAATCATGAACCTTTTATCTATCTGACACTTTTAAAGTAAACATATATTTACTAAAATTTGGAATAGGAAAGATCTATTTTTTATGATTTCGTACTTTAAAATGTATGTGTATTTGAAGCAAAGTGTATTTTACCCGTATTACGTTGTTTATTGACTTTTATTTACGTACGACCGATTTTCAGATCTACTTACAGTTGTTTGCGGATCGCCTCGATATCTTCCGAAATGAGGTTATGTAGCGATGCACATAATCTATTTTGTAGCCCTTCAAAGTCTTCTAGGGGCGTCCCAGTTAAATCAGCACTAAAAATCGTAAGAATAAAAAAGTAAATTTGTTATTTTTATGCCCTAGTATGCTATAAAAATAATGGAAATATTACAATTGTTTTTTGTTTGGTTACATACATATTATTGTTGATCATTGTACTGTTATGTTTGATTTGTATTTTTACTCACATTTTAACGTTATTGCAACGTTTTATTAGTTTATTTATAGACACTGCAGAGTTTTGGCAAACTTTCAAGCTCTCTTTCGCGTTGTTGTAAAATTCATCGAAAAACGAGAAATACTCTGATATTTGATTTTGTATTTTAACTTCCATCTTATGTTCAATTATTCATAGGAGAGCTATGTACATTCCTAATTACAAATTAAAGAATAAAAATCTAAAAACTCACATGACAAAGACGATCGCTGACACTTTGGCTTTTCAAAATTTTGTTTATGCGGCTGGCTTTGTGCTCACTTGATTCACAATCAATTTGGGTACCTAAAGATTTTGAATTCTTGTCTTGAAATTTTTTACAAAATAATATATCAATACTTAATGTATTTTCAGTAGAGTAAAATTTTGATAGAAAATTTTATGTTTATTATATGTACCTATTTGTGTGCACGTGATTTGATTGAATAGTTTTTTTCTTGAATCTTTGTGTCAATCTCCATAAACGCGCAAAAAGAATCAGTTTCAAAAACCGTTAACAATCGCTAAATTATTGTAATGACTACGTTTTAATTATATTTTTATTTAGGGACTCCGTTTTTATTAAAGTTTTGTTATTTTTATTTAATAGAGTTTCATTAGTTTCATCGGTTTTTCGATACAGAACTGATCGATTACGGAGTTACCGACAACTGTCAAAAGTACAACACCCAATGGGACTCGCGAGTGCGATGCACATTTGAAAACTCACGCAGTTACCTTTTTTGTTCGACGAGGGAAGTATGTTCGTCTTTTGCGGCGCGCAAATATATACGAACGAATCATAAATTAAAATATAATAAATTCTCGATTAATGTATACGGTGTGTAAGTGACAAAGAAGTGTGTTAATAAGTGTACCATGATTTAGTGCAATTCAAAAGTAGTAGTAATTATTCTTCCGATAAAATGAATGGTAAACTGCATAGTGAAACCGGCGCTTTCTCATCTGACGACATGCGTGCCGAAATATTAAACCCTTTTGTCCATAAATTGGAATTGGACAACACATACGATAAGATAAAGGTGTGTGTATACTAGAAAGACATTCTCTTACATTGCATAACAAACAAGTGAAAGTTAAATTAATAAAAATGCCAAATGTAGTTACTGTGTGGAACTGCGACGTTCAGTGCGCATGCTATAATGCACACTGAGAACTAACAAAACGATAATTTTAAAAACAATATTTTATTGCGAATTACAAGGAAATAATCGATTTGATTGAAAAAAATTGTTGACAATTATTGGTCATTTAGTCAGACACTTGTGCCAAAAATACAATGTTAAATCGAATTATTATTATCTTCAGACGACCTTGCAGACCTTGCAACCTTCAGCGTGTGAAATACAGAAAATAACCATAATTAATGTACTATGTATTTTGAATGTACATTTTACATTTGTGCATTGATTGACACTAATAATATTTTTTAATCAAGAATTGTTAACGTAGTTGATTACGGCTTAACTGTAATTGATGTTAAGAGAAACTTGTCAATGGAAATAAAATATATAAGTTTTTTAATACGTATGTATGTGAGTGGAGAAATGCATACTCGGAATGAATCGTAATTATTACATATTACGTGCTGTGTTCAATTTTAGTTCACATAAAAATTTTAGTTACCGGGAATTCGATTTATTACATTTTTTATTCGTCTTAATTGTTATAAAAAAATATAATTTCAATTCCTATTTCGACTATAGAGATATTAACATCTATATTTAGGAAGGGGAATTGAAATTTGGGTCATTATCCTTATCATTGTGTCGGATTCGTAACAATTATGCCAATTCTGTTTTTATGGTTTATCATACATAATATTTTAATGTGTGACTTTTTGTCTATTGTTTTCATCTCATCACTGTTGGTAGTAAAAATGGAAATCTAAATTTTCGATGCATTATTTAGACGATTGTGGAGATTGACCTGCCAACATTTGACATATCTGTCACTATTATTTAAAGTTAATAAATCTCTTGGGGAATTCCCCGTAAAACAATCACTAGTCGCATCTTGACAACAAGCTGAAGTAGATTTTGCGCTTAAGGTAACTTGCTGAAATAAAAAGCGTAAAAGTATTAAAGTAGTCTTGTCGTAGTATTTTGGTATTTTGCTGTCATCCACCTACACAAAAAGGGCTCCACAAAGAAATGCGAACATTACCGCACTATTTCCCTCATGCCCCACGCTAGTAAGATCATGCTCCAGACTTTGAACAAGATATTGGCCGCCTACATAGATAGACAGATTCCTCCGGAACAGTCAGGATTTGTGCAAGGAAAAGGAACACGAGAACANCTTGTCGTAGTATTTTGGTATTTTGCTGTCATCCACCTACACAAAAAGGGCTCCACAAAGAAATGCGAACATTACCGCACTATTTCCCTCATGCCCCACGCTAGTAAGATCATGCTCCAGACTTTGAACAAGATATTGGCCGCCTACATAGATAGACAGATTCCTCCGGAACAGTCAGGATTTGTGCAAGGAAAAGGAACACGAGAACATATACTGAACGTACGGCTACTCATTGAAAAATGTCGCGAATTCAATAAACCTCTTGTGTTGTGCTTTATAGACTATGCCAAAGCATTTGACTGCGTAAAATGGAATTCTATGTTCAGGATGATGTCGAAAATGGGCGTGCCATCACACCTTATCTTCCTTGTCCAGAAGCTGTACCTTGACGGGTCGAGCACGGGTGAAACATTCCATGCAGAACGAGGGGTCCGTCAGGGATGCATACTTTCTCCGAAGCTGTTTAACCTCTACGGCGAGTATATTCTGAGGAAGGCGCTTGATGTCTGGGACGGTAGCGTTACGGTGGGTGGTACGAAGATCACGAACCTAAGAGATGCCGATGATACAACAATCATTACAACCAGCGAGTCCGAGATGGCTGCGATCTTGGAGCGAATACTGAGAGTGAGCCTTGAATTTGGCCTGCAAATAAACCGCTCTAAGACCAAAGTGATGACGGTGGACAGAGCTCGAGTTTTAAGTCCATCAAATGCGCTCAAGGATTATGAGAAAGGAAAGGAATTTATATACTTGGGGTCGCTGATCTCTAACAGTGGTAACTGCGAGAAAGAAATCGGACGCCGTATCCGGATGGCTAAAAATGCCATGACTAGCCTCTATAAAATCTAGAAAAACCGTAATATTCGCCGAGTAACTAAAATGCGTTTGGTTCGTACGTTTGTCTTCTCTATCTTCCTGTACGGGGTGGAGACTTGATGTCTCAGGAAAAAGGAACGCAAAAAGAACGATGCCTTTGAAATGTATTGTTGGAGAAAGCTGCTACGCATTCCTTGGACAGCTATGAGAACCAATGTCTCCATCCTCGAAGAGCTGAAGGTCACCAAGCGCCTGCTGACTACGTGCCAGGAAAGGATCCGGAATTTCTTTGGGCACATAATGCGATCCCCATTGCACAGCCTGGAGAAGCTCATCATTCTCGGACAAAAGAAGGGGAAGCGCGCTAGAGGAAGAGCGCCAGCTAGACGGGGTGGACCAACTCAAGGAGGTGACTGGAGGCCAAATACAGGGAGCGGTACATATGGCGCAGGACCGGACCGAGTGGAGAAGATTGACATACAGTCACGATCCTCAACACTGAGGGAACGACCAGAAAGAAGAATCGTGGACGCACATTTGACACACATCAAAATATTCTGAGCTGAGTCTAAAGCTGATGGCACTTTTTTTAATACCTTACTCTACAAGACAAATCGACAATCATTAGTTAAATTTTCCAGGATGGATGTTTGGATACTATTATTAAGCACATGTGGGATTACTAAATATTTTGAACACAAATTACATCCCAGTAAAACATATACAATATCTATATCTATGCTTAATAATATTATAAAGCTGAAGAGTTTGTTTGTTTGAACGCGCTAATCTCAGGAACTACTGGTCCGATAGCTCATTCATCGGGGAAGGCTATAGGCTATATAACATCACGCTAAGACCAATGCAAGCGGAGCACCAATAAATAATGTTTCGAAATCATGGTTTTAATCCCTTTTGAGAGTTTTCACTGTGTGCGCTGTGGAAACGGTTAAAGTTCCGCAATGACAGAATTGTTCCCCTTTAACTAAAAAAAAGTCCGCGACAGCATATGTCTATATATGTATTAAGATTGGCTCACCGTTTTTTATGTTAAACAAATTTGTTCTAAAATAAAGCAAGCATTCTTTGTGAACTATTACACGCGTACGAAGTCGTGGGCAAAATCTAGTAGTACAATATAATGCGCTAGGATAGTGAAGCCAGATTTTAACGGCCAAGAATACATATAATTTGAAAAGAAAAATATAGGGGATATAATAAAATAATATAACCTAGTGTTAATTGCGTGCTTGACCTCCCGTTTCTTAGTATACAATTTTTCGTACACGCTACTTTTTCTAATTTATGTGGTCAGAAAGACGCTTTCTCTCCCATACTATACAATTCAAATCGCTTGTCATATTAAGTACCTAGAAGTCATGCATACAAGCAATTTCTCTATTTTTAGCCTATCACTTCTTTCATGTCCGTCCACATCCGAGTTCAATATTTCACGCACTGGTGTTAATTGTCAACAGTCTTCAAAAGAAAACAATAAACGGTAAAAGTAGAGTTTGTTTTATAACATAAAATACGTTGATTCCATCAACGTGATGGCTCTTTAACATGGAATAGAATTATCATTGCTACCTTTTTTTCCTAATATTTTTTTAAATTAAAACTTCCGGTGTTTACAATGTACACATTTTTAAATTTACTATTTATCTCTGCGTATAGAAGATAGCTAGTATATCGTCGAAACTTAAGTAGCTAAAACTCAAATATATTCGTTTTATAAATGTTAGAAGATCATCAGGCCTTAGTTTAACTGAACTTTATTAGAAAAAACCCAAGCTATTTGAATAGTACTCATAATCAAAATGCATTCGTTAAATGAAGCAATATCAATCAGTTTATCCCAAAATTGAAGATTTTCTAGATAGTTATGCGTTCTTTTGCTAGCCTTTAACTTAATATAACATGTACCTATATATTGTTACAGACGGCAATTTTCACAGTAATTTTATTACCGTTTCGAGTGATAGTCATATGCTATCTGATCGTGACAGCATGGTTCCTAGCATGCATCGGCCTCTATGGACTCAGCGAGGAGGATTTGAGACGGAAGCCCATGACTGGATGGAGAAGGTGAGCCTCAAATAATAGTATTGTCATTAATGATTTTTTCATTTTGCTTCATAAGTCGATTGCAAAATGGTGCCTTATACCATTATACATATTATAGTTTAAATGCTTTTTTTTGGTTATTGTACTTAACGAGACATAATCATGTTGGAATTAAGCTTTGGGTTATTCTGGCACAAGGCTACCCAATTAATTTAGGAGGTTGGTTATCGTGACGATTTGAGGTCAACTGCATCTACCGTACATACATAAACTTAATAGTAATGCTTTTGACAAAGTTTTAGTTACACATAGATTAACACTTATAGAATCATTAGATTAGATTATATTAGATAGATTAACACTATTAATTTTAGAAACAAATCTGAATTCAACATTAAAATTAAGTCGGAAAAATGAAATGGCCCATAGTGAAAACCACTTTTCCACGTTGAACTATTAAGTAAACGATAATAATAATTTTGAAACTGCTGAAGCAACATTTTTAAAACTTACAACAATTCTCAAACAAAACAAGTTAGGGGCACTTGGGAATTCGTCAATAATCAAACGCAGACTATGTCATCAATATGTATGGGTACCCGTTATTAAGTTATGAAATTAACGTGAGTGAATTTATTATGGTTTTTATACACAGCCATCTTAAAATAACACTTGATAATAACACTTGAAGAAGGCAAATCGTCCACAGGACGTAACAGCAAGATAGAAAATGGCCATCTTTCAAAGGTTCATTTATTTAGTGAATACCCAGCAAAATTAAGCCCACTCGACATTTTTAAATGTTACGAAATTAGATCAAACAGAAGAATGTTATGATAATCTTAAATAATGATATCACAATGATATAACCTTGAATGAATATTCAGTAAATCCTAAAAAGGTATATTTCCTTGCCATTATTTCTATTAAAAATATCTACTAATCCAATGATACGCTCCTAATGATTTACTAGTCTGAGAATTGCTCAAGACCTACTTATTAAAACAATCTATTGTTTCCAACATCAGTTTCATTTTTTTTTACCAAACGAACTCGCACAGTTCGAGACAACAAAACAACTGCTGGCCGTGAAGGTTTTTATCAACTTGTAAATTATTATACCAAGTTTCATGTTTCGTTTTAATACTGGCATTTGAATTGGTTGGGTCTTTAAAATGATTACTAAATTTAACTAAAAATTAATTGTTACACGGTGCAGTGATAGCTTTTTATTGATCGAAATAATAGGCCGAGTGGCTCACGGCAGACTTGGTCTTCAAGGTCAAATCTTCTGTAAATTAGTGAAGATCAATTGAAGATTCGAGTAACTATTTAAGACTGATGCGGTTAAACTTTCAATTGAATTGTATTTCCATAATGGCTGTTCCAGTCAGTAAATCGAAAATTATTGTGACGCCTTCGTTCTATTGTCAATAAAGGGCTCCAATTCAAAAAGTTTTTCTTCCCTTTGGCTGCAACATATTTCTAACGTATATTCTTGGACTATCAGTTTGCATAGTTCTTTGGTATTTCCCTCCTCCTTCTATCTCTATCCCGAAGCGATGATGTGTTTTAATTTTAGTGGAAGGTCGCTATAATTCTTATGGAGACTACAGCCTGATACTTGAAGGAGGGTGTCAGCATTTTCACTGTGTAGCCTTTTTCGGTTAAGGATATGTTTTGCGCTGGGGGTAGCGGTGATTCAACAATAATAAAATAAACATAAAGAAGAGAGCTATGCAAGGAGTTTGTGACTTATGAAATTCCTATTTCTGTTTATCTATTATGCATTCTTGCTCTATGGGCCAATATGTCTACAGATCAATTTAATTCAATTAAAAATTTCTTAGCGAGTGGTGTGAAAGCATAGTTTTTTGGTCTTATGCTATCCGTCAATTCTGGCAATTATCCATGGTAGCAACGTTAAATAATCGCAATTCTTCATAATTTATTTAGTATCATTATTGCTGATGCATAACCTCACTAGTTACTTTTCCATACCAGGGTCTATTGCGATTCCAACAAGTAAATTCCGTAACCTTATAGTTTACTTGCCAGATAATACAATAAAGGTTATAATAAAAACTACATACATCTTCTCTAGTATTTAGGAAGATATATTATAGTGTTCCCAATAAATAAATAAAATATATATAGCATTTCGCCTAAACCTCCGATACCTCGCAAGAAAAATCTTGCGCCTGCTAAATATGGTTTCAGTTTTTTTAAATGGTATGCGTGATGTAGTCTTGATCTTTTTCTATCTTAAAAAAAACTTTACTAACTTTTATTGTTGGTATCTTAACCTTGAAGTTTCATACAGTAGTGTTCGATTGACTTGATCGTAAAATAAAGATACGTAAAAGTTAAGCTCATTAGTGCATGAAAAGTAATTATCAACGGGATGAGATTTCAAATGAAATTCTAAAATACATCAATCGTTCTGCAACCGTTCCGACCTTGATTGAAATTAAATGAAGGTTATTCTATTCATTTGTGCAGTTGTTTATAATTGAGATCGATTTTGTTAGCGGTTAATACCGGTTTTATTATTAGGGTTTCTAATGCTTAATAAACAAGTGTTTGTTTTTTGTTTTGTTTTTGTCATTAGCTCATACTTTTAGTAGGTACATATCTCCCACTGTAAATATTTTTTATGTTTGGTACCGACGCTAATTGTTGTACATTTTTATAGTTTTCTTCCAAAGTACTGTTAATGAAATCTTAAGTAATGAATGTTAACAATGTATATACAAACAACCTAATAAATGAATAAAAATGTTAATTAAATTAAACATATGTAGGTTCACTCTTTTTTCCGTATGATGAATGTGTCCGTAATTGCGAGACAATGTGCCTAAGTTTTCAAAATATTGAGGTCATGAGGTCAATTTTGATGAAAGGAAGCTTATTATGAGAAATAAATAAAGATTATTGTGATGTGCACAAAAAACAGTACCGGTGAACCGCATATAGGCGCATTAAATTGAAACACCTATGTACCGGTTCTTTATTATGATTTATTGACAAGTATTTTTGAGTTAAAAATGATTATCGTGTATACGTGTTCGGTATGCTTTTTTACTCCTTGTTGACAGACTTTTGAGAGGTTTTACGACTAAGGGAAGATCTTCCAACGATCGGATGATATTGCTCGGTAGACCAACGGTCCGAATGTTGATTTTCGGAAATTTTATTTTAGTAAGCTTATCTTGAAAATGTCGTAAGCGAGATAGAAATATCTGTCAAATTTATTGTGTTTTGTCCAGCACAGATTTATAGGTATACTCGTTCGATATTACACGGGCTATAGCCACAATCTTCAGTCATTGAAATTTAAACTAGTAAAGCAGTGGTAGAAGAAAATTAATATAAAACACAACAATATTTTAAATGCGCGCTCTTTTTTGTAGACGATGTAAAAATGCAGGTGAAGCTTTCATATTGAAAATCATTGACATAATTTGACATCTGTAATTCGAAGAGTACAAATAGATTTTTTTAAACGCAAAACCGACTAACGGGTTCAATAATTACGATTAAAATAGCTAAAGAAAGGTCAGTGCTGCCAACGAATAAAAAATGAGGTCGCTTTTTTTGATTTCATAAAAAAATGGAAGCGCGCGAATACGCTGACTCACTCTGTTTTCATTATTCAACAATAAATGTTGCACTTTCAATTATTCGATCTAATACATCTCGGTATCGATTACAAATCGTAATTATTAAACTGATGATAGTGCTTGGAGCGGTTACTTTGGATGTTTGTGTTTGTGAAATAAATACGTTGCGCGTTCGTGGCGTAGCGGTATCAAGGTATGTCTATTCTTGAAAAGTAAATATCTGAAGTAATTATATCTAATTCTGAGTATCGAGTTATAGGTTGGGCATAGCTCGATTTTACACCGATACGTCCAGGTGAACGTATATATATTGTCTGGAAGCGTCGCTTATATAAATTTCGTTGCACCTACCACTATTTACTCTGCACTACCTTTGGTTGACTGGTAGAGAATGCCTTAGGCATTAATGATTAAATCCGTCAATGTAAATTTTATATGACGTGTAGTAAATAAATATATATGTATATCGTTTACGTATGGTATCGGTTATGTAACGTACAATACGTGTGTGAATTGTTGATTGTTACCAAGAACTTTTTTCGATCTTGAAAAATTATAAAATTCTCATAACGCAATGGTACCACACCCAAGTTGGTAGGTCCAGTTTTGATAAATTAGTAAGAATATGTAAACAGTGAGACTTCTCTTTAATGTAAACAAAAAATAATTGCGATGGATAAAAAAATTACTATTCTTGATGTGTTTGCATTGTGTTCTTCTTTGTTATGTAGTAAACAAATCAATATCAGACAGATATCAAAACATCTCTTTTTAAAACATGACTAATCAAGACATATCTATCGCCTTTGCAAATTAGTCCGTCCATTGTACAGAGTACATCTATATGTATTACAATAAAACGTACTCTATTGTTTTGTCATACAAAGTGTAATTAGGACTTTTTGGCGGGAACGCGAGGAGTGAAGTTGTGTGATTTGTTTTATTTTGTCTATTTAGTGTTTCTTCGGGTTTAAATGTGTAATAATGGTGGTTTATTAACCGTTTAATATCTGTGAAAGTGCACAAATGTGGGAAAATGAAACAAAGCCGCTGGACGTAACTTCTCGGGATCCTCCAAAAAGTCCACTGAAAAATCTTAGTAAATGACCACCATTTTACTGAGATTAGATTTCATCTCATATCATCTCATTTAATTTCATCCCAGTTGATTAATGTCTCAAATTAATCATTTTCATTTCATTTCACTCCATAATATCATTTTTCATAAAATTAAGAATATAGATTAAAATAAGACGTGACTTAAAGGTCTCAGTTACCAGGTCATAAAATCTCTTAAAAAAAAAAAAAGTGTAATTAGTAATACGCAAATTATTAGCGCTTTGAGCCAAACTATAATTGCGTAATACATTTAAGTAGATGAGAATCTTACGAACAAGTCATGCAAGTATATGATGTTAATGGGTATGTACTTTCTAAATTGCTTTCTTTAAATAAGGATAGTTCTTTACGTTCTTACGGTAGGCGGCAGCGAGAGAGAAAAAAAAGATACAATCGTTGGGCTCTTTCATTACGCGATTTATATCGTTAACACAATTTTAGTTTATAATCGTTTTTTTATGTTATACTTACTGGTGATAGAGAGGTTTAGTAGCGAGGAAACGGACTCGGAATGTTAATGTAACTGTCTAATGGATGTGTCTACATGTAACATCAACTAATTGTGTATTTGGACGAGAGCCGTTAGGAGCTAGGAGATAGAGGCTAGATGCCTGTGGGGTGAAATTCTCAAGGGTGGCAAAACTTGGAGGGTATATTTTTCCTGCTTTAAAAGTAAATTTTTGGGAAGTGTGATCGCATTAATAATTATTTAACAAATAATATGGAGTACAATAAATTTGCATATTTTAGGCGCGAAGTATTTTATGGTATCCATTACTCTAAACAAAAACGTTTTCGTTTTTTCACTCACAATTTTAACGATGCCCCATGTCGGTACAAAGGTAAGATCTGCCATCTCTTCAGCTGTGGACATTCTACTTACTACTACATAATGGAATTTATATTTTAAAGTAAATTTAGCACTAAGTATATACGGAAATGGTAGTAGTGCAAGGTAGAGGGGGAAGAGGTCGACCGAAGAAGACATGGTTGGCGGAATGACGATATGAGAGAGAAAGGAGTTAGGGTTGAGGTGAAGGCTGATAGAAGATAATGCAAAAGAAATTAGCTATGTCGACTCCGCCTAGTGGTATAAGGCGGAGAAAAAAAAAGAGACATTAGCACTATTCCAAGCGCCATACATTAATCGTGTAGCATCGTAACTCATGTGACGTGTTATATTTGAACACGCTATAATTACTGCGTCACACCGGTTAGTACTGAATAATGATTGCGGACTCTAAATTGTTTAAGGACATGTAGTTCTTGTTATAACATTAATGGGCTTCTTTTTAAAGTAATTAATAAGAATAATAAACATTTATTCCAAACATAAATTAGGTAAAAAAAATAAAAAACAAGAATAAGAAAAATAACGAGGCTTGGAAACGGTTATCGGCTCAGCAATACCTAACAGTAACGAAACAATCAGTAGGTACTGCGGCGCTGATCTTCCGCCGGCAGCTGCGGAGTGACGCGCACACCAGCGTCTGACCGACCAATCGTTATGTACTTGACTTTGAGTTTAGCAAATTATTACTTTCTCTTTAAAATTTGTTTTTTTATATGTGACGGTGGAGATAAATAATGATGTTTGCGATAGATTATTATAATCACAGTCGCGTTTGAGACTGTTCAGTCGTTGCTTTGTCGCTAGTTGCTATGAGGCTATGCCAACCTTCGACTGTAAAAAATTTAGACTACAAACAAATAATACCAAAAAAATTGTTTTATGTAACACAGGATAAAACTATCATATCACAAATGCACAGCCTAAAATTTAAAATTTGTATCTAAAGTGAGAATTACTTTCGTTATTTTGGTACAATGTAAAAGATGATATAAACAAAACCTAGGAGAGGTTTTTGTGTGAATTCACGAATGTCCCGTCTGGTTCATATACTGAATTTATATCCGCTATAACCGGTTTGGCTGGTAAACGTTTAGCGATCAATTACAGTCGTAGTTACAAGTTGAGGAAACTAAAAATGATGGTTAGATTTTTGTGATTGTATATTCACGCCCATTGGTACCTCGACCTTTTAGTCTGTATGTGTTATTGCAATATACATATATCTATAGTTCTGTTTCTTTGATTGGGGGAATACATATGTTTTAACCGTATAACTCTTGACGGTCCAGTCAAAATTCCACCAGCAACCAATGCAAATAAAAAATGTACATTTTAATTTTGTTTATGGGGGGTAGAAGTAAGAAGCATCATCTCAGTGTAAAAGTGTCCGCTAAAAGAGAGTCAATTAAAATGGCGCCATAGTAGCAACTGGAAAGATTTTATAAACAACGCCATAGATTACCACACTTCACTTCAATCCAGCACACTTACTTTGTTTAAAACTGCTTTATTCGTAACTAGCTGACCCGGCAGGCTTCGTAGTGCCTCAATCGATAAATAAAATACCCTTTTGTATAAACTAAACTTAAAACAAACAAAAGGAATCCGTCCCACGGGGACACATCAAAGAGAAAACAAAATTGTTATTTTTATTTAATTCCAAGCATTTTCATATTTATTTACCTTTTAAACCTTCTCTGGACTTCCACAAATAATTCAAGACCAAAATTAGCCAAATCGGTCCAGCTGTTCTCGAGTTTTAGCGAGACTAACGAACAGCAATTCATTTTTATATATATAGATAATATAATATCATATCCACTTCCTACACAAGCGCTATTTCAGTTATTCTTCCAACAATAAGTAGCTGTTTACAAATGGACATTTTTTCATTTTGTCCCCTACACAAGATGTTGCTTCTTAATTCTACCCTCCTTAATTTTGGTAAATTGTCTGTCATTAGCTATGACGTTTAACCAAATGCTTACCTTTTTAAATTGCACGTTAGATGTGGAGTGAGGTTAATTTATAGTTTTATTCAATTAGTTGGCGACAATGAATTTAGCTGTATTTACAAATATGACATAAATAAATATTAATAGACTTCTTGGCCGCTATTGGGTTGATCGCAAGTGAAGAAGTAGAAATATCTGTCAACTGGTTGCGTCTGTGTCGTAATACGATGGTGGTGTTGCTTAGCCACGGCGCTTACTTTGGCCGTAATTAGCAACGGCTTCACAGTCGCAAGGCATAGGTAACAAACAACAGGACTGGCCCATGGTTGCAGATCGGGTAACCGCAAATTGTATTTGCTTCGTAACCCGTAATTTTGTTAGGCAACATAATATACATTAAATACGTAGCTTATCATTAATTTTAGACTTGGTTATTATAATTTTTTTCTAATTAACAAGTACCGACTCCAGCTAGTTGGATAAGGCGGAGACAAAGAGAAGAAAAAGAAGTACACACACTGACTTTTTTCATGGAGACATTGAATGCCTACTAATAATTATAATTCTAGACGAGTGCGCTTTAGACTAGCCCGTAAAAATTACATATATTATATTATTATTACTAACATACATTTTCTCAACAGCAAGCTTCGTTTCTCGATCCTCTCCCTCATGCGACTGGTGGTGGTAGCCGCCGGCTTCCACCGCGTCAGGATCTTGGGTCGCCAGCACCAGGCGGGCAGCTCCCGGGAGGCCCCGGTCGTGGTCATGGCCCCGCATTCCAGTTTCTTCGACGCGATCGCCATTGTCTGCCTCGGGGCTCCCAGCGTGGTAGCGAAGGCGGACACAGCTCGTATACCGTTCATTGGACGTAGGTCACAAGCCACGGTAGCGTTTGTTTGGTTAATGTCAATGTTAATGGAAACATAATTCAGAGTTCCTATCTTTCGTATTTGTTCGATTAAATTTGAATCATAAAAAAAAAAATCGCGTCATATCAATACAGTATATAAAAATTACATTTCTGTCCATTTGGGTTATCTACAACGCGGCACGTCAAACAATAAAGGATTTACTGACGAACGAAATAAAAAACCTTTTGTTGTAGTCGTTCTAAAAACATACGTCCTTCTAACTTACAAACTTCAAGCGGCTGTTAATGTTTTTTTTTTTAAATATCCATAATAATCTGTGCGTAACGCGAATTAGTACTTTGCTAATGGTACAGTTGAATATTACGTCGGCCGTTTTAAAAGAGAAAGTTACATGCGATCGTTGTAATGGTGGGTTTCTAAAAAAACCATAACCGTAGGTATTGGCTGAATTAATTCGTTTTATATATTACTTACAGACAAAAAAAACCGTTATTGAAAAGTAAAAATAATAAATTAGAGAATAATCGGCAAAAGTAGGTCAATCTTAATGCGTTATATCGGAGTTTTATAAGACCGTTACAAGTGTTATTCTTAATCGTTTGAAATTGTTAAAATTATCGATACCCTTTTTTAAATCCAATATCTTATATTATGTAGTCGGGTAGCGTTTATATCTGCAAATTGGTAGCATTCGGTACTATAGCGGTCTTTCTTTTTCGGTATGTTTTGTTTTTTTATCAAACGTTCGATGGGCTTAAATTATCTTTCAATATCGGCTTATACCTACGTTAAGTGTTTTATTAATTATAAATCATTACTGTTTCATAATAGTTTTAGTTGTGATTTTTTTTATTGTTTGGTGGACGAGCCCACCTTGTGTTAAGTGGTTACTAGAGCCCATAGACATCTACAACGTAAATGCCGCCACCTACCCTGAGATATAAGTTCTAAGGTCTCAGTATAGTTACAACGGCTGCCTCACCCTTTCAACTGAATCGCCCTTTATTCGTACGCAACTAGAACCTTGACCTTTTCTTAAGGCGGGCAGAACTAATATCGTTTTGTCTACGGGCCACGATTCACGTAACCAATCAGGACGGGTCGTGACTAGTCTGTTGGTATATTGAGAATAATGCGTTGCCATAGCAACGGTTTCAATAATAAACAAAAAAGTATTATCAATAAATAAATAAAATTCACCCTTTACGTATCCGACTAAGAGTTTGTTTTGATTTGACTAACCGTATTTATTTTTAAGTGATCGGTACATCTCTTTTTCATTGCATTCCTAATTAATCTTCTAAGATGGCAAAATGGGCTGTTTATTTTTAAAACCTCTTGATTTCGATCATAATATCTTCAGATTCTTTGCTTCGCTGTTTTGATCGTCTCTTTAGTAAGAATATTAGGCGGACGGCCAGATCCTCTGTTACAGACAGAGAACGTTTCATTATTAGGTACTTATCAGTAGCGTGCTGGGCGAACATTCGACTAAACCAAGCGTATGATGGTTTTTAAAAAAAATGCGTTTGGCTGTATACACTTATGTACGTACAGTGTCTAATAAAATGTATCACGCGATTTTAGTTAATGAGCCGATTTTAATGCCGTACAAATAAGTAACAATAATTGGCGCGAAAATGAATAATTCATACGAGAATGACAGGCTCTAAATTTAAATGTAGCGTTATTGATTTTTGTTGTAACAGTATATTTATGACTAGATTAGTCGCAGTGCCGCGCCGTTTCGTTTTAATCGCCGTTTAACCGTATATACTTAGATTTTAACTCGACCTTGGTGCACATATTTCGTATGATCGCCCAGTAATCAATATTAAAACGATTTTCGTAAACTTCCGCGTCAACTAGTTCTCGAATAAGGTTAAATATGTTTAGTCTTATGTCATGAAATTTGCTCCAAAGCGCATGCAAACGTTTAAATCGATTTCCGGTTAGGTGAATTCCGATTTTGTATTTGGCGATGAAACGCTGACGTGACGCTTGCCGACTTCTATACTAATAGTATAAAGAGGAAAGATTTGTTTGTTTGTTTTTATTAAATAGGCTCCGAAACTACTGAACCGATTTGAAAAATTCTTTCACTGTTTGGAAGCTACACTATTCCCGAATGACATAGGCTATAATCTTTTTTGAAAAAAAATTGGGTTCCTTACTAAAACTCGAATAATGTAACCCGAGGTGTAAAAAAAATACCTAAAATATTCTTTACATCGCGTGCCCTGCGATAACTATTGATGATAGAATAAAATAATGTACTAGGACTTTGTAGAACATATTATTATCTACAAAAGTGTCGCGACAGCATATGTCTGACTATTATAGTTATTTATTTAATAAAATAAAACAGTCAGATATCGTTGAGATTATTGTTAAAGACTCGAGCGGAGCCGGAGCGGGCCGCTAGTAATTAATGCTTTGACACTCCCAATGTCACGAATATATGTATATCTTTATATAGATAATTGTGCTGTACGTGTCTATGTCACTGAACTCCTAACCGTCGGGACCGATTTTGATTTTTTTTTGGTGGATGTTCCAGTGAACTTAAAAAATGGCTTAGATTCACAATTCGGTCCACTAAAAATGTTTTTTTTTTATTATTATTATTTTTCATAAAAAAAGTTTGAGATTTTCGGATTTAGATCAGGACAACGTCTGTCGGGTCCGCTAGTATGTATGTATATTTTTTAAACTAGCTTTCACCACAAGTATCTCTTTTGGTTTTCTTGTATTTCAGTCATAATGTTGCAATTTATTTATCAATCAAAGCATTGAGTTACATAGGGTAATGTCTAAACGTTCTTTTCCTGTCCCTTGAGAGGAGGATTATTCAATATCAAAATTAGCCGTATGTCCTTTTATGCATTCTCGCATACGCGTTTGCAAAACTTAATGATGATAATTTGATTGGTTAAGACGTGAAAGCGTAATAAACAAACAAACTTACTTTCACATTTGTAATAGTAGACATGTTCTACGGCTTCATCTGCGCCTTAACACCGTCGTCTAAAACACGTCATTTCGGATCCTCCCGATACATTAACAGTGCTTTTAGGTACCGCAAGCACCGGTCACTGTTCTCGTCGAACCCGTCGCTTGCGACGAAGTGCTCCGCGAGTAAACCAGATAAAGCCCACTGAGTTTTTCGCCGGATCTTCTCGGTAGGTCGCGTTTCCGATCCGGTGGTAGATTCTGCGAAGCACTGCTCTTGCAAGGCTAGTGTTAGCAACGTTGTCAGGTTTGAGCCCCGTGAGCTCACCTAGTCGTTCTGTGAATGTAGTATAGTAACCCTTCGAGGATACTAGAATAGGTAGATTAGGTATAGGTATTGGGATATAGGTAGGTAGGTAGAGGCATAAATTAGTCTAGATTAAGTATAATTTCACAAATTTAAGTATTATATCTTATGTAACTTTATTTTCGTGATTAAAGAGAATTTAGCACTTATTTGACTACGAGAAAATAACTTCTCTAGTATCGGTGAGACTAACACAATTAAAATATTTTAAGACGAGGAACAATAAAACTTATATGTAAATAAAGTACATATTACGTAATGCAATTTTAATTTAAATGCGGAAAAAGAAATATCTACATACATACATATATATTTGACTCCAAACAAACGTTTCCGTGGCCGCCGTTTCAGATTGTTTTCATTGTTTGTTGACGTTAGCTGTTGTTTGCAGTTGTTTGAATTTGTTTGCTGTTGTTCGTATATGTTCTTGGTTGTTTGTTTTGTTTTTGAATGGAATCTATTCAAACGGTATGCAAAGGCTCGGTGCCACTTAGTATGTGAAACCTTGAGTTTTTAACATTACGTCTATTTTAAGTTTCTTTTTTTTATGAGTACAGTAATCATTTCTTTGATTGATTAAGTAGGTCGCTTGAGTTTGGTGTTCTCAAACACATGCGCGGCAACTGGCTTGTGTACCGTTAGATTGGTTATACTGCATTTCAATAATTTTGGTCATTTAACACGTTGACTGCCATAGATTCTTCCGCGAAGCAGCTGCGGTCGAGCTGTTAGGTCTCCATCGGAGGCGCTCGGGCGGCTGTTAGCTAATCCCACCTCTCCTGGCTGAGTGTTTGCTCGCCCACCTGTCCTGGTGAAACTGGAAAGGCCTCCGGGCCACCAGTAAACATTCAATCATAAAAAAAGGTCACCGGTATGTATATATACATATATATATACCCTATGTAGCGCTCTGTAGTAATTATGTAAATTTTTGTTACTAAGCGCCTGGATTACCTAACTTCACCTTCTTTTGTTTGTTAAATAATGTTTTAGTCTTTTAGGTCGCTTAGAAATAGATTCATTCTCAGTATCAGATTCGTCTTTCTCAGACTCTATTAAATATTCCGACGCCTTAGTAACAAAAAACTTACTTACTTAATTACCTTAATTACTTCTTTCATTTCGCCACGTAGGGAACCGGTGACCTACACGGCAGTCAACGTGTTAACTTGTCGCACTTCTTTCTTCGAAGTCGCACTTCTTTCTTTCAGCACCAGACTAGTATTGGATTATAAATTTAAACATCGAATGTTATGTTGTTTTATATTTTATTTTTATTTTAGCGCCTTCTTGTGCTCGTTAGTGTAAAATTAGATTTGCATATATATATGTAATTATGAATATTTCTATGTAACTTCTTGGTTAATAAAACACAGGTGAGTGTAAAGTAAGATTTAATTTAAACATTACTGACAGTTTTTTTTTTTCAGAAATAGCTAATCAAATTACATAATTATTTTTTCAATATACAAAGAGCGAGAGAGACGGCATGCTATCTGATATATTCACACGACTTTTTTTTACATTAGCTGAACGTGTTATTTCTAGGGTTTCTATTGAAAGACGTACAATAAGAAAACATCGAGTTAAACATAGGAGGTAAGAGAAAAATGTGACAAGAAAACCCGACGAATAGTTCTAACGCTACGACGAATAGATCATACACTTCTAACGCTA